TTCGGGATGGACTGTACTTGCTAGAAGGAGCCTAGGTTTACATATATCGGAGGATGTACTAACGCATAAGACATCTATGTCACGTCAATTTGGTACCAAATGTACGTTTCTGTAGTGACGGTACTTGAGTGGTCAAACTGACTAGTGTGTATACCTGAAAAACAACTATCAATCATCTTGTACTTCCAACACATAGGAGTCCAGCTTTCCTTCGCACGGGGTACCCGAATGATCGCTCGATAATCTCCCTCGGGTCTGCAAGTGTTCAGATATCTCTCGCTCGAGGCCACCTCAGAAATGACATGTCATTTCCTGGGCATATTAAAGAGGACCTGAAATTAAGTAGTCCCAGGCACTAGAAGTATTATAGTGACAGAGATACGTGCATTGCATCTCTTTACTATTATCTTTCTACATACCTATCATAGTACACGGTTATACTATATAACCAAAATGACCAACTTTTTATGTTAGTTGCATTTGTAAATGTAAATATGAAATGCTCACACATAGTGTTATGTCTATGTCCACAATTATCTTGTACCGAATCCCTAACTAGTTCACTGTAATGACTTAAGTCATAATTAGGCCAAGTGTCACGTTGGACTTGTCACTATGATCTGGTCTGAGTTGTCTCGACTGCTATCACGACTAATTCACGTTCTCGGTCAGATGTCAATGTAAGTTTGGGTTTGAGTTTTGTGGGTGAACAAGTTATGACCGTAAAAAGAAATATTAGACATGGGAACAGGAAAAACACAGGAAACACAGTTAAAGGACAACAAAAACAGAACAGAATCGGGGCCGACATGAAGTGATTTTAGGTGACAAAAATTAAACATTCGCATTTTAACCATTTTTTACACATTTACATGTAAACATTGGGACATTCCACAGGAACCCACAATACTTTCCGCGGGTGGGGTTTTTTTACATAGAATAATATTGAATAATGACTGAATCTACTACACTAGTGAGACTTCACTCTTCTCTTTCAAAAACTACCGGTGTGCGTCCTGACCTGAGGACACCTCGAGACCACGTAGAAACCTGTCGTGCCGTTACAGTACATTAAAATTTTGTGTATAAAATAAAACATCGTCTCCACCGCAGGAAAAACACCACGCGCCTCTCTAGGGACTCCTTTCCGAAGACAACTTCACCTAACGACGACCCACGTCCAGACTCCAGGTCCCCGAGACAGCAGGACGGAGTCGTCGGTCGTCCCCCGGACTACATGGAGACCTGCCGCCATTCCGAGTGTGCCGAGGTCTCTCCAGTCGTTCTCCCGTACACCTCGTAGAGTGAGTTTGCACTCGTTACAAGTCACCCTAGCCGAAAGTTCCTAAAGTCACTACAGAAATGTATGTTGCAACTTTTGTGAAAGGTCTGAAACTTAACAAACCACAAAAATCCACAGGTGGTCTCGACCCAGAGTCATTTTCGTCGGGACACTTTCCACGTCCACCACCTCCTTCCGAGTCTCGGCCGTCTCAAGACCTGTCGTGACCCTGTTTACCTGTCCTTCCGATACTGACGTACGACGTTCCATCTTTTGTTGAGTTGCAGAGAAGTAGTCCTGGAAGAGATTAGAAGCTTTAGTGTGATTTTTTTATAAAGAAACAATCTAGGGCCTTTCATATTGTGTAGGGTCGCCGGTTCAAGTCCCCGACCAGACCTAAAATATGGAGTGTGGACTGCTACTTGGAGAGGTTCCAGTTCACCTCCTGCCCTGCCGTGATGCCCTTGAGCAAGGCACCGGACACCCCCCTTCCCCCCTCACTCCCATTGCTCCCCGGGCGCTGTGCAATAGCTGCCCACTGCTCCTAGTGCTAGACTCCTGGTACTAGGATGGGTTAAATGCAGAGAACACATTTCACTGTGTGTGGTGTGTGCTCTGCATGTGAGACCATTAAAGAGGGTTTCATCTCTCCCAATTCTATTCTATTCTACTTTAAAGTGTATTTCCCCATCAGAAACTGTCACTTTTCAAATCTCTTTAAATGCATTGTCAGTAGCCCACTGATAACCCTAACCCTAACCAAAAAAGTCAGTTCTCAGGTCAGAAGGGGAGGACAAATTCTCATCAACAGAGACACCCTTTAAATAAAATTACTTTTACAATCTAAAATCAATTATCAGACAGTGATTATTTTCCGGGGATCAAAACAAGACCAAGCAAGACGCTCTTGCTGTGTTTCATGTGCGACATACCTCTGTGTGTCGGCAGAAGAAGAAGAAAGCTTTGATTTGAGCGGTTGAGTAATTGTACGTTTGTGACTGAGGCCTCAGAACTCATCAAGCTGTCAGATTGCAGACACACTGTGTTACTGTAATCAGACTGTCAGTTTGCGTTTTAACCCAGTGAGTAACAGCGTCGAGTGTGTCTGTTTGCATTAAAAAGTCAGTGACTAATAAATGGCTTTTTATGCATGATCTGAATGTGTTTGTGTGGATATTCTGAGCCTGTATTGAGTCTTACAAACTTTTAATTTGCGTCTATTTTGGATTACCGTTGATGGTTCATTAGAAATATTGCCAAAGCAGGTATTGAAGAGACGCCTTGTTGTGACAATTTGTTTAAACTTTCTATGGGACCATGTCTTGCTTGTTGGTCGTCTCTCGCAATTTGTGACCTCTTTGCGAAGCCTGTTCCCCTAAAGATTCTGATCCCGAAAATGCATTGTCAATCAGGTTCCGCTGAATAATGTTTGTTTTATGACATTTCTGATCAAAGTCGGCTGAAGATGTCGTAGAAGGTTAAAAATAATATATGACTTTATTCCAAGATTAATGTTAAGTAGACTCCAGGCACTGGAAGGGTTTCTCCAAACCGCTGACAGAAAGGCTAGAAAGCTACAGTGTTTCTGAAACATAACTATTACTGGTTGAGTACGGGTAGCTTGCAAATAAACGGTACAGTTGATGAAGGAAGAAGTGCAGAAAGGCCAAGGGGAGAATTGCTGACGGACATAAAGAAGTGTACGGGGAAAGCGGTGGTGGAGTACATGAAACTGGTGGAAGATTGGGATGTGTGGAGACGAGTGGTGATGTCATCAATGTGCCCCAATAGCCATGCAATGACCTGACCTTTTGAATTTGCTGTTAAACTGTAACTGTTGGCAAATAGAGGCTAAAATACGTTCTTTTGAAGTTACAAAATTGTTGATAATTCTCTGATTCACCGATTTATTCCAAACGTTTAGAACTGATATGTAAACCTAAACATATGTAATCCTAGTATGTAAACTGATCAGCACTGAGACTTGTGGATATCAATTGTTTGCTACAGGATTACCACTAATAGCGAACAGTTTAGCAACAAAATGTAGGAAAAGTGAACATCGGGTCAATCGTGCAATGTAAAGTGTTTAAATGTTGGGATTAGGGGCTTAAAGGTCCCATGTCATGCTTTTCTGGTTATTACCCGTCCCCTTGTGTGTTATGAAGCTTGTAAACGGTCTGCAGAGTCACAAACCCTCAAAGTACACCCTGTAGCGAGTGAAACTCTAACACAGAAAAGACCTGTCTATGCGGCCCCAGAACGCCTTGTTGGAGATTTCTCTTTTTCTTCCTGGGTACAGTGACGTATTGGGTATAGTGACGTTAAGTTACGTGCGCAGAGCCGTTACGTTTGGACCAATCCGCGGACTTCCTCACACATACATACACTGATTTCTCACCCTGAGATGGCGGGACGCGGGGAGGCTGCGGGTGTGTGTGTGTGTGCTCGGGCTGGGTTCGGGCTGGGTTTCGCTGTGTCTCACTGTCTCGCAGACCCCACGCAGCAGCCAGGAAACAACACCAGTAATCCAGCTCACACTGTCCGCTCCTCGTAGCAGCGAGCCCCGCAACGTCCCGCCAACACGGCACCCAGACTCCACGCAGCATTCTCATCTGTTTGTCCTT